CCTAGAAAAAATCACTTCCGACCCCAAAACCTGGACTCCATCCGCAGAAAGTGATGCTTTGCATTTGTTGGGACATCAAAGTAGTAATTCATTTCGAACTCCTCAATCCACAGCGAAATGTCAATGCAGAGATCTATAGTCAGCAACTGGAGCGTTTAAATCATGCCTTTCATCAGAAAAGCCCTTCACTCGTCTATCGAAAAGGTGTTCTTGTTCTCCAAGGCAATACACGTCCACATGTGACACGTTTGATGCAACACAATATTATGGAGTTGGGTTGGGAAGTTTTCCCCCACCCACCATATTCTCCAGATATGGCATCATCAGATTACCACCTTTTTCGTTCACTGCAACACCATCTTAATGGGAAAACGTATGCAAATGTGAAAGGTGTTAAAGAAGACAATGACATGTTTTTGCTTCAAAGCCAAATGACTTGTTTAATCAGGGCATTATCAACCTGATTGTAAGATGAAAAAGCATCATCGATAAGAATGTTTTAACAAATTTTTTGTTTTAATATATAAGTTGTTTGGGTTTTTTCATCAAAAAAAGCGACATTAATTTCTTGACGACCTAATATTTGTACGTATAGAACCGACCCTAATTTTGACTATTGACGACAGAAGGCAGTAAGTCAGCAGCACATGGTTGAATGTCACTCTTATAATGCACCATCAGCTTAAAGAGGGGGAGGGGATGGTATCGCATGGATTTGAACCCGGCTTGCCAACTCCGAAATTCATAGCTTTACCACAGAGCCAACACGCGCCCCATATCTCTTAGTAAACCTCAACACAAAACAGAATTGTTTCATGACAGTTAGTATAACAAAAAGCCCATTATCGGTTAATCTAATGCTTGACAAGTCCACTTCTAAGGGTGTAAAAAACTTACGAGTGTATGCATGTGCGTGTACGTGATACAACGTGATTAACTGATAACATTTAGGAACTATATAAGTCTTTTCTCTCTCTTCTTTTTTTTTTTTGTCACTGATGCTAAATATTACATTATAGTCATCTAATCAAGAATACCAGAAGTGCTGAATCACGTTCTCTGACGTTAGCATTATAAATACCACATTTATTCATCAGAGGGAAACACCGTTGACATTAAAAGTAATCATGTATTAGACACTAGAAAAGCTATTATCCACACGCGTTCATTATGCTCTGATAGCGAAGGTAATTCGAAAGGCTTACATCGGTATTCCACTATAGCGAGATACTGGTTTACATGTCGACGTGATCTTTTTCACAATGACAGATGTAAGTTTTGATTTCCTGTTAAGAGGCGTTTTCTTCTTGAACTATTTTAACTGCGGCGTAGCTCGCGAAATGCATGTTAATTAACGCAGTTCACACAGCTCACTTCACTCCACTGATCATTCAGAGTTCAAGTAGTATTTCATACTGAACACCTTGTGGTAAAAAAATCACATTAGAGTAAAACTTATGACGGACGAACGTAATTGTTTGAGATCGTAATGAATAAATCACGAGAAACGCGCAGAATAAGGTGACATTTTATCACAACTATTAGATCTGGTTTGCAATGTGAAACTTTAAAGCTGAAATATATTTTATTATGTATTAAATCGTATAATACAGTGCTGCAATATACTGCACAAGATATCAAGATGCGTTGCAAATAGAGGCATTAGTTGAACTCAGTTGCACAGTGTACTCCCCCACTCATAATGGTGCTTCTCTGTAAAACGCAGTGAATATCATTACATAATGCACTTGTATATTATAAAATACACCAAAATCTGAAGAATTAGGTATCGCTAATTTGCTTGTTTCGTTGTATTTCCTTTTAGGTAGCGTCAATGGAATGAGTGCTGTTCTCAAGGTTTCGTCAGCTAGTGCTGGTATCCCAACGGTTATCCCAATGACAACCACCACCACCCCAAGCCCAGCACTTACTACAAGTATCAACATCACCACTTCTCCTAAAGCTGGTACGGGAAGTGATCTCCAGGTAACAACAATAGTTATGGAAACGCCTAGTGCACCTACGACGACAACGTCTAAGATCTCACCTTCCTCCACAGAATCAAACTCTATTTACATGCACTCCAAGCCTCCATCACGCCGAACTTCCGGTGCAGCAACTTTAATGGAAGTTTGATTGTTTCAATTCCAGCTATAAGATGGCGCTAGCGTATCAACATTATGATTTTGTACAAAGATAGTTCTTTCTCAGTTAACAGTTTTTCACTAAATATTTACAAATTATGTTTCATTTTCACAAAGTATTTGAGAAATGTCTATTATATTTCGTTATTTGTGAAGATGATATTTACGAAAAACTTCAAACTGAATCTTTACTTATCTTTTCAGAAACCGAAATATTTTACTAAATATTTCTCGAACATCTTATTTCATAATAGGAAAAAGAGCATAGATATACAAGTATCACGTTAGAGAATAGTGCAACGAGAATACAGATTGATTTCACTGTTGTTGTTCCAGAGTAATAAATTTCGTCGGAAAACACCAGAGGAATTTCTTCCCATCAGAACAGGTAAGTACTACATGATCATAGAGAACAAAACGAAGAAGAATAGAAACTACAGAATAGGTCAAATGTCGAAGATTTATAGTGTTAGAGAAACTAAGTTTTAAACACAGGACATTTTCTTATATAATATTTATATCTCCATTTTTTTCACGTTCTTTGCTAAGAAATGAAACCTTTTTTTTTTTTTTTTGCAGCGGCCAAAGTTAATGAAACTGCGCTATCAACGAATTAGTTAAACTCGGAAACATACTGTAGCTTGAGCTAAGTATTAGAATTTATTTTTCCACAGCAAGAACCCGACCCTAACTAACACTGTAGTCTGAGTTAAACGTTAAACTCACACCAATAACCCGATTCTAAAGTAATACTCTAACCTGAATTAAACATCAAACCCACACTAATAACCCGATCTGAAGTAACATTGTAGCCTGGGTTGAACGTTAAACTTACACCAATAACCCGATTCTAAGTAACATTGATCTTTTATTCAGAAGCTAACTCTAAAAGCGCACTTAAAGAACCTTATCAGAACCATTAATAGGACATTAACATCATAGCAACACTTAAACTTAAGTATGAACAGACTCCAGAAACAAAATATTTAAATTACTTCATACGAAAGGGACATGTATATATATATATATATATCACAGAAATGATCTAAAAGGAATGCTAACCGTAAAGATACACCGTAAGTAGCCTTAACGAACAATTCAAAACATTGGAATAATGCTTATTCTTGCCTATTATATGATTAAAAATAACGATATGTACAGAACAGAAATATGCCCCAAACCATTCTGCATTCGAAACCTTCCGATAGTTGAAATATGTCGACTATTAGATGTACAGTGTAGATATATATATATATAATATTCAATATACATCAAAAACAAAAATTCGCTGAAGTATAATGTTGAGAAAACCACAAATCAAGACTCAAAATGATAAACATTACTTTAAAATTAAAACATCCCATAATAGGTTTCACGCCATCTTCAGTACACGAAAATTACAATTAAACCTAATTTCCTTGCTATTCTACGCTGAACTACAGCTGATGACACTACTAAGAAATGTTGGCATCAGATATACAATAAAAAAAGAAAACTCATTAATCTCTTATCGATCAGACTTATTCAAATATTAGTTTTAATTTTTGTAACAAGTTTAGATAAGAACTACTTCAAGCTTTTGTATTAGTAACAAATAATATTCTGAAAACTTATGAAAAGTAACAAAAATATATTTGATTAGTAATCTAAAGACTATCTTCAGTAAGAAATAATATTCTGAAACTTATGAAAAGTAACAAAAATATATTTGATTAGTAATCTAAAGACTATCTTCAGTCACAAATAAGATCCTGAAACTTATGAAAAGTAACAAAAATATATTTGATTAGTAATCTAAAGACTATCATCAGTCACAAATAAGATCCTGAAACTTATGAAAAGTAACAAAAATATATTTGATTAGTAATCTAAAGACTATCTTCAGTAAGAAATAATATTCTGAAAACGTATGAAAAGTAACAAAAATATGTATTTGATTAGTAATCTAAAGACTATCTTCAGTAACAAATAAGATCCTGAAAACTTATGAAAAGTAACAAAAATATATTTGATTAGTAATCTAAAGACTATCTTCAGTAGCAAACAAAATCATGAAACTTATGAAAGTAACGAAAATATATTTGATTAGTAATCTAAAGACTATCTTCAGTAGCAAACAAAATCATGAAAACTTATGAAAAGTAACAAAAATATATTTGATTAGTAATCTAAAGACTATCTTCAGTAGCAAACAAAATCATGAAAACTTATGAAAAGTAACAAAAATATATTTGATTAGTAATCTAAAGACTATCTTCTATTATTCCAGATTATCAGTAGGAGCAACAGCTATAAGAACTGTGGCCCTAGCGTGGCCAGTGGTTAGCGTGCCAGACTATAGATTATTGGGTCCCATGTTCGCGTCTCATTATCAAAAGAAAAAAATGTGCGCTACATACTTTGAGCTGTGAGTGCGTAAAAGAATGACGATTAAATCGAACTATATTTGATCAGGCAAGAGTAGCCCAAGAGCTGGCGGTGGGTGTTATTGACTAACTGTCTTACCCATAGTCTTATCAGTTCAAAATTAGGTATTGCTAGGACAGATAATCATTGAGTAGCTTTATAAGAAACTTGAGACCCGCAGTGTTCATTATTTTATAAACAGCACTATAACATATGAGAAAAACATTTGAAGCAACTTTAATCCGCTCTTGAAAGAGTTCCTTTCGTTCCATCCACTGATAATTTTATTTCAATTATTCAAAAGAGAATCCTACGAGCCACATACACAAATAGTCGAGAATATTATTTACGAATCACTTGTGTATAAATATCCTACCTGATGATGACAAAACCTTGTCGAAACGTTGTACATTTGCTGTCATGTTAAACTTACATTAAAGTTTTTCTTCATTACCCATTTAAGCCGTCTCCAGCCATTATAAATATCCTACTAGTTAGCATTCCAAATAACGAAACTTATAAACTGACAAATTCGTACTTAGGTTGTGTGACAACTAATCAGAATTAAATTCACAGCCTAACTGTACACGAACTGGACTTACTTAATGTGAAAAGGTACAAACATTGCTTCTACTGTTTTGATGTTTTCACGATTTAAACTTCGAATTCTGTTTCTGTAAGTTTAAAAATGCCAAATCTGAGAATGTTCACATATATATATATATATATGGCCTGTATAGTCTATAAATGTCCATATCTTTGCACTGCTCTTTGTAATTCTTTTAACCAGTGAGAATAAAAATTACGTCACTGGCATGGTGCTGCGCATGCCTATATTTAATATTTCATTATATGTCAAATGGAAAGGGCAAATTATAATTTGACGTTATTTTACCAAATTGGTATTCACAAGGCAAATTTATTTAATAAGGCATTAATCTCTTTCTCCGTAACATAGAACCTGAAGAATCGTTTATTAAGTTATTTTGAAAAAAATTGCATTTTAAATTAATCTTTCAGAATTCATTGTCGACTTAAGAATACCAAAATAGTTTTCCTCTCCAATCAGAAGGGGCTGGCACGAATATCTTTTTATCTTTATCAGAGTAAGGTATTACCGTTTCATTTCGCCCCATGAAAATATCTCATTTCATAGGGATAAAAAGAAAAGCGCTATCATGTAAAGGAAAATTTTCCTAAGATTAACATTCCTTTTAAAAGGTCGGAAGCAAGATGCGAGTCTGAACCGACAACGAGTTCAAGAACAAGGCACAATGCGAGTTTTGTATTAAAACAGATTTAGCTTGTATGTTTTCCAACTGATTCTTTTACGCGCGGTTCGTTTGGAGCATGTATCATTACGTTTAGCATCTCTCATGCATTAAAACCTGAAGTGTATGTACATATAATTTTGGAATTTTCTTCCAAAAATGTTGTATTTCTCTATAATGTTCCAAACTACTGGATTTTCACATTTTCTTTTTGTTACTGAAGTGCCAGTTTTTGTCTATATTTGTTATAAATGTATAACAATTTTTACCCACATTGCCTTAGCTGTTACTCGTCAGAGGAAAATCTCATTTATGTTTCGCATTGCTACCTCGAAGATATTGTACGAATGGCTATGTGTGATACAGAATAAATCATTTCTTCTTACAGGTAGTAAGAGAGTAGAAACATAAATATTTATTAAAATATTTACTCGATTTCGACGTTTCTTGAATTCCAAGGTTTGCATTGAAAACTCTTTCTCTCTATCCTCGCAGGTTTTCATAATCATAGCTTATGTTGGACTTGACTTCTGTTTAATAAGATTTGAAATTACTGAAACTATTTACATATTTGCGCCGAACATTTGTGATTAAACTCATGCTTGACTTTGACGTCAAGTGTGTTTTGTTTTGGTTTCGTTTTTATCTTACTTAGTCTATCACGCATTTCGAGTGATAGGGTAATATTTACAAATTTCATTGAAAAAAAAATTAACTCAAATAACTTTGGGAAGAGATCATTAAAAGTTTCATCAAAATTTGTGGGATTAAAAATAAGAAGATATTACCACAGTCAACATTTCAACCTAGATCTGAGACACAGAAATTTTACTATTTGGAAATTCTTTATCGTCAGCCTTCGACCTCAGATTTTGAATTTTGACATTTTACTGCTTTATCTAACCAATTCAAAAGATAATGAATGCATAACTTTCATCAAATAGTCCCCTATATCCTATGAGATTTAAAAACACATCCAGAGAGCGAATAAAAAAAAAAGACCTTTTATCAGTCGTCCTTCACGTGAATCATGTGTTTTTCTATTGAAACATTTTTTCGTATGATCATCTTTATATTTTACTGCAGTCAAAAGACGTATTATCTTGGGTTTGCAGAATCGATAAAATAGAGAGAAAAATCAACTGAGCAAATAGTGGGTGGGATTTAGAAAGTATTCGCCTATGAACCTGATGTTCATTTCATATCTGTACCAGGAACTACCTTATTCGCATGTCCTTTTTTCTTATTACTGTTTTATTAATTAACTAATTTGTATAAGCATTTCTATTTCAGAACCACAAACAACATGAGCACTTTTAGAAAGTAGACTTCCTTCAGAAGGCAGTTGGAAATGGAATTTGTAACGCTCCCCTTAAAATGTTTCTTGGGTTTGTGGTTATTTTAAGATTTTACAGTATCAATGAACTCAAACAGGCATTAAGTTACTCGTGGGTTGCTAACGTGTGTGTCTTTATAGCAAAGCCCCACCGCGCTATCTGCTGGGTCCACCGAGGAGAATCGAACCTCTTATTGTAGCGTTGGGTTACTTATGAGTAGCTCTTCAGCTTTCTGTGTTATTCCAAAAATTATTCAAAAAACTACTATTGCGCTAATTGTGTTACTCAGAGGATTACTCATGAGGACTTGAATCATTTAATATTTCAATCATCCGTAAACATGCTAGAATTCTATAACCAAATGTTTGAACAAGCACTTAGACTTCCAGGTGGAATGATAACCTGTCTGTCTAAATATTTATATGTTTTACCTCTAAATAGGAAAGATCCTTCACAAGCTATCGGATTCAAGATATTCTTATGGAATAGAAATTTATCCATTTGGATTGATGCTTCCTGGCCGATGGCCCTCCAGTGGCACAGTGGTATGTCTGCGGACTTACAACGCTAGAAACCGGGTTTCGATACCCGTGGTGGGAAGAGTACAGATAACTTAACTTGAAACCAACAAAAAATTCTGATGAGAGCAACAATAATTTCTTATTCATCTATATGTCAGAACAAGTGTGTCTAATTTAACTGTAACACAAGAAAACGTTAATGCCAAGTGTTCCCACTAGTTAAATTAAATCTTACCAACTCATGTCACTGAATTATGAATGCTTAAAAGTATAATCTTGACTGATAACAGATAGATCTAATATACGCTCCCAGTTATATGGTTGTAGATCTACTAGCTTCTATAAAGTCAACTTAAATATATATAAAAACATTCAATTCTGGTTTAAAACACCTTGAAAATTCATCCTATTACTTGAAAAAAAAAAAGCTTCAGCGTAGATTACAAGCTATGACCATGTCAAGAACCAAAGCAGGAGAACTTCTTATTAATTCCAGTTCTTTAGTGTCTGTTCTGTCTGGAATTCCAAGAAACGCATTTGAATAGATTTACTGAAATAGATTAACGAACTGCCCAGCAAAAAAAAAAGAAAACAACTAATTCAAACTAACCTCCATGTTTGGAGCCATGTCTGTAATAATCCATGTGCTAAAAAACAGTTGTATTTGAACCAACCTAAATCATCCAAAGTAATTAGCTTTACCTGAACCAACTTGATTATTCCAAGATAGCCAGACTATTCGCTGTAAGGAATCCAGCCTTATTCCTTTAGTAATAATAAGCTCTGTCTCAATAACCTAAATGTTACAAAACAACTAGTTTTTTTAAGTAGCATATACAGTCCAAAGGAATTAAAACATATTTGTTTGTCATAAGTACTATTTATCTGTAAAGGTAGCTGAGTGTTATTTTCTTCCACATAGCAACAAGAATATATATATATATTTAAAGATGAGCTCTCGAAGAATGCTCACCTTCTAAACATTTCGAGAAAGGTTTAATGACCAAAATCAATCTATATTGAACCCTATTTACCTACCACCTAAAACACTTTTATTGGAATTTATAACTCTGTAAGCAGCTTAGCCAACCAATTTTTAATATCAAATACCATGAGCATCTAAGTACATTGTTTTAAAGTCCTTAATACAGCATTCACACTGCCATGTTTTAAAGTCCTTAATACAACATTCACACTGCCATGTTTTAAAGTCCTTAATACAACATTCACACTGTCATGTTTTAAAGTCCTTAATACAGCATTCACACTGCCATGTTTTAAAGTCCTTAATACAGCATTCACACTGCCATGTTTTAAAGTCCTTAATACAACATTCACATTGCCATGTTTTAAAGTCCTTAATACAGCATTCACACTGCCATGTTTTAAAGTCCTTAATACAACATTCACACTGCCATGTTTTAAAGTCCCAACAAACGAATAAACAATCTGTTTGCAAACCGATACTAATTGTTTGGATTTATGCAAATAATATATGTATTTTTCTCATTTTTCGTCAGCAAATTTGTATTCTAAAATAATCAAGGGTTTGTTCAGTGGAAAAACTTGACCAACTGATGTATTTGTCTTCAAGTAAAAAGTTAAACAAAGCAGAATTAGTTACAGCAATATTTTCTGCATTTGGATACCAGAATAAAAAACAAAAATGATCACAGGAACGTAAATATTATCAGAGAAAAAGTTCAAACGAAATGAAAGAAATCTTACGTTCCTCGGTGGAACAGCGGTAAGTTTACGGACTTACAGTGCTAAAATCTGGAGTTCCATTCCACGCGATGAGCACAGCAGATAGCCCAATGTGGCTTTGTTCTAAAACACATTAACTAAAATGTTGCAACGTAACTACATGTTGCAGAAAGTTCCAACCACTACAGCTGTACCTTTGTATTTGAAGAAACTATTTGGAATCATCCATCTATTAGTCAGAGTAATTATTTTGTTCATTAGTTGGGAGTAATTGAAACAACGTAATAGAGTAAATAAGGTAATTATTCTCGCTTACTTAATTTCCGTATACATCCAATAGTCAATACTTACATAAGAGCAATCATGAAAACATAATGAACTATCAGAAACTATTATATTCCCATTACCTAGTATTTCAAAGTTGCTTGAGGATAATCAAACAAATTCAAAATGGGAAGACCTTAATCGTGCTTAATCAACCAATGCGCTTAGCACATTCTGTGGTTACTGAAAGAAATATCCAAATGAACTAACCTACGATAAACTTTCATCTTCTTGTGCATCAAGTGCTCTAATGTTACTCGAAGATAATCATAGGAATACAGTAAACTTAGCATGTGTACTGGTCCGACTGACACAATTAACATGTGCACTGGTCCGACTGACACAATTAACATATTCACTGGTCCGACTGACACAATTAACATGTGCACTGGTCCGACTGACACAATTAACATA